GAAGAAAAGGAGAGCATAAAGAAGAGAAGAGAAGGAGAGCATAAAGAAGAGAAAAAAGGAGAGCATAAAGAAGAGAAGAAAAGAGAACAAAAAGAAGAGAGGAAAATGAAATAAAAAGAAGAGAAGAAAAGGAGAGCAAAAAGAAGAGAAGAGAAGAGAAGGAGAGCATAGAGAAGAGAAGGGTGGCAACAGTTCACTGCAGGGGGTTTAACCAACCTTATTACAGTTTGATCACAGATGAATATGGAGCAAATGACAAACACATACACACACACATGCACACACAAACACACACACACACACATGCACACACACAAACACACACACACATGCACACATAAACACACACACATGCACACACACAGTGACAGCATTCCACAGATGAGATGAAAGTTGCAGATCATCTTCACAGAAACAACAGAAGCTTCAGATGAACAGAAAGTGACAGAACGACAGAATAAAAGAACGCGTGTAGGTTTTGGAACGATGGAGAACGTTCTACCTCTGCAGGGACGTGGAGAACGATCTGAACCTGAAAGCTGCTGGGAAATGTGTTACTATAGGTCCGTTTAATTCTGACATGTGGGTGATTCAGACTCAATGTTGCGCAGGTGGAGCATGAAGACGCACGGGTTTGATCGTGGAGTCAGCTTGAAATGGCACCACGAGACAACATGAGCTCTGGCAAGAGGCCATCTGAAAGAAGGAACTGGAATATTTCTACAAGTTCTTGTTGTTTCTACAACAAGCCGTAAACAGTTGGGAACAAAACTTAAAAGGTAAAAGGTCGTTCAGATCTGTTGAAGATCTGTTGGGATTCTGTGAAAAGGTTAAGATGATAATATCTAACCTGTTGCAGATGGCTCTTTGAACAGCCTCAGTTGTCCGGACTGACTCCAGCTGTTCACCTGCAACGAGTATTTGCTCCAACTCTGCATCATGCAAAGAGTTATATTTGAATATAGCATATATTATATGCTATATTCAAATATATACACTATATTTGAATTAGGGATGCACCGATCCACTTTTTTAAACTTCCGATCCGATCCCGATACCTAGATCTGAGTATCGGCCGAAACCGATCCAGTTCCGATATCATGATCATCATTGATTTTATATGAGGCTGTAATAATCTGCTCTCAAGTACAATCTGTACAAATCTATGCATGCATGTCCAAAAAGACAACTTGAGGCAAGTTTTATTAATGTTGGACAAGTTTTAAAGTAAGAATTAAAATCTGCTAACACAAAACATGTTTATTTTTATTACTAGTTTTAAAGTGGATATTAAAGTGATTAATTTAAGTGATTGTTTAGTTGTTTTATATTTTTTTAAATAAGGGACAGATATAAAAATCTTTTTCTTCTTTCTGAACTCGTTTCATTCAGTTTTCTTTTTGATGATGTTTATTTTTATTTTGTTTCTTTTAAATGAATGAATTAAATAAAATGTTAAATGGCTTCAAACACCTGCTAAGTTCATGACATAAACCAACAGACATGTTCCTGTTTTTAGTATTTTACATCACTTTATAATGTAGCTGTTTATGTTTTTAATATATATAATTTTCAAATCACATGTTTGTTTATGATTGTCTCCTGTTGTACTGATAAATATCTCCTGCAGGGTAAACTAGATCTTGGCTGCAAATATCAAACTGTGAAATCCTTCATTTTCTACAACTGATAGTGGTTGGTCATTAATGATGAAGTTTATCAACTTCTCTGTAAACATTAGAGCTCCGTGGTTTCAGCGACGTCTTCTTCTTGTTCAGTCCGAAGCAGGCAGTCTGATCTGGGTCAGCCCCGCTCAGTCTGTCCCTCCTCAGAGACGGACAGACTGAGCAGGGCAGATTGGACGAGGCCGGCCGGGGTCGAGTCGCCTCTTTCGGTTGACCAAAGAGCAGCGCCCGCTGAAGCCACGGAGCTCGAATGTCCATCGTAAAACTAACTTTAACGCGGTTTAATGTGGCGCTGTGGCTCTGCAGACAGTGCACGTTGCTGTCTTGATTTGTCGTGTTTAGTGTAAAATACTTCCACACAGCGACATGTTTAGATGAAAAGTTTGTTAGCTGTTAGCCACGGTGCTGCTAACTCAGTCCTCACGTTATAGCTGCTGCAAACTATGGACTGGATTTCCTGAATGTGGGGCGGGTCTTGTTACTCTGGGCTCATGAGACACTTTCAGGAAATCCAGTCCATAGTTTGAAGCCAACATACATCAAGGATCGGAAATATGGACAGGTGGATCAGAAAAATCCGATACGTAAATTATGCTGGTATCGGAGACCGATACCGATACTGGATCGGATCGGCCCATCCCTAATTTGAATATAACATATATATTTTATATATAGCATATAATATATGCTGCTGCTAACATCCAACTGTCCCAGCACAGAGACATGCTGTGCGGTTTACAATTAAGTCAGAGGTGCAAAACTCACTTAATGAGGGTTTTGCAAATTATACAGCTGCTGTAGGTAAAATCCAAAACTGCATCCCAAACACACTTTACATAACATGCAAGTGTTGCTGGGTCATGGCCCGTTTCTCCAAACTGAGGTTTTTAGAACACATGAGACGATAAATGCACAGAACCTTTCCACAGAAGCCCATTTCATAAAATGGAAGTATTCCTTTCATTTGGTGAATACATCCATGAAATAAGACATTTTATTCCTTCACAGTGAACTCTCAGGAGCAAAGCTAGCAGCGCGTTCACATCACGTTTCTGCACGCGGCTTCAGCTCTCCTGTCCTTACACAAGCACAGAAGGTCTCCCTCACACCCACTCTCATGGGATGTCATGTGAAGTACGGATGTCACTTTGTGCCTCTGTACATGCGCACACTTCTCCTCGTCTGTTCCTAAGTGTGTGTCTGCGCTTGTGCAAGCTCGTGTGTGTTGTACGTGTGAATGCGACACACAGTAAGTGTGTGTGCTAAAGTGTCAAAGTGTTGCCAGGGCTTCTATCAGACCTTTTGTTGTCCCTAACTTTACTCTGATAGGAAATCTGGACCTTTGTGTGTGTGTGTGTGTGTGTGTGAGTGAGTGAGTGTGTGTGTGTGTGAGTGAGTGTGTAGTTAGAGCGTGACTTACCTGGAGGTCTGACATACACCTTCAGCTTTAGACACGCCCGCCCCACGTGGTTTGGGTGAGGAGATGCTGCAAACAAAGATTAAGAGGAGATTCAATATTCATGTTGCTCACTGCCTTCATAAAATATGTCCATTTTATTTTATACAGCACATTTAAAAACAATGATACTGACCAAACAGGAAATCAGCAATGAAGTAAATGAAAGATCAAACATTAAAAACACAAGTTTAATAAAACAGACTAAGAAAATAAGAAACAAACAATACCTTAATATAAATCAGAAAATATATTCTAAAATATTTAATTGACTTATTAAGAGTGCCGATGCATAACCATTGAAGCATGCCTGTTGTTTAAATGCTTGTTTAGCATTTACATAATTGTTTTCTTTATAACTGCTGGTATGCTAATTTTAGCTAAAGATCTGATACTTTTAGCTTTTACCTAAAATTTAGAAAATTTTGGCTTTTATTGAGTTAATTTTAGCATTTAGCTAATGTTTTGCTAATTTTAGCATTTATTTAGAATTTTACGAATTTTATCTCATGTTCTCCTTTTGAACAATTCAGTTTCAGCCTCTAACAAATTTCAGCAGTCATTCAGAACTGAGCATTTTCACAAAAAAATGCAGTTTTCTAGGCATCACCCTGTTCAATGGCTCTGGTCAGTTTCTAAAAATAGCTCCTTCCATAATGAGTGTCTGACGTCACACATACCTCACAGTACCCCCCCGATCTCAGGCAAGCAGAACTTCAAGTACAATACGATTAGTGCTGTACTTGTGGTTTACGTCAATAAAACAGCAAAAAATGGGATCCAACAAGTGTTGTTGCTCAGGGGTTTTATGCTTATGCCGATGATACGCTGACAAGCCAAGAAGTGGTTAGCACCGTTGCCTCACAGCAAGAAGGTCCTGGGTTCAATCCCCAGTTGGACCTGGGGTCTTTTTGTGTGCAGTTTGCATGTTCTCTCTGTGCTGCGTGGGTTTTCTCCGGGTACTCCGGTTTCCTCCCACAGACCACAAACATGCATGTTAGGCTGCTTTCAGGCCTCTCTTGCAAAACAGATCTGTGATCTCAATGCAATTTGTCTGGTTAAATAAAGGTTAATAATATGAGCCTTATATTCAAAGTATACGTTTCATACTAGGGGTGTAACGGTACATGAGGGTGTATTGAACAGTTTCTGTACGCCATGTTCGGTTCGGTCCACGTGCGTACTGTTTCGGTTATTTTTTTCACTCATTAATTTTTAATAGCGAGAGATTATTCACCGTGGAACTAAAGTTGCTGAGCGTGTTTCAGCACGGAGCTATTTATTGTTGTATAGTCTTGCAGCACGCACAGCATTAGCAGCCTAGCATGTCGTCGTGGTCTCCTGTTGGGGAACATTATGTCTTTCTTGTTAAAAGACAAGTGAACAAATCCAAAGCTGTGTGTCGACGCTGTTTCACGGAGACTGGATCTGCAGCAGCAACACGTCGAACTTAACAACTTGAAACAACATCTGAACGTGAACGGAGTTTGGTGCAAAAAGCGATTCCAGCAGCATTTAAACAACCTTCATCAGGTGATCGGTCCAGAGCAACAACAAGCTGTAGGAGTTCTTAAAGCTCTGGATCTACGTCTGAATGTTGTTGATGCGCCGGCTTTAAAGTTCTTGAGCCCCGCTGCGACACGCCAACACTTCAGCAAAAAGTTGTAGCAGCACTTTATGAAAAAGATAAAACTGATCGTCAACAAGCCCTGGAGCAGATCAAAGTCCTGTCCTCATGATGAGTGAGACATTCAACCACCTCATATCAGAAATGATGACCGTGCAAGAAGAGGTATTGTTATTGTATTATTATGATCTAATTAAATTTTTTAATTTAAAATCATCATCTTATAATTGTTTTTTTTTTTACGTCTTTGTGTTTTTGCAGTCTGAGGATGTCACAGAGATAGCAGCTGAATCTTCTTCCTCTTCAGGGAAATCATCACCTCCAGCTAAGAAGTCTGTGATGACTGAACTCTGAACTTTTCCAGGGACAGGAAGTAGCAAGTCCCTTTTGCATCAGGTCCAAGAAGAGGTTCATGAGTTCAGAGCTTCAGGGTGTCCTTCCCTTCAAGCGGACCCTTCTTTGGTGGAAAGACAATGAGAACAAATACAGCCACTCTCTATTCCTGCTCCTGTTGTTAGCGAGAGGTTTTCTCCACAGCTGGAGATATTCACTGCAACTAGATCTATGGTTTTGGCAGAAAATGTAGATAAATTGCTGCTGCCTCTCAGCGAGCAGGTCCCTGGTTCAAACCCCGGTCCAGGGGCCTTTCTGGGTGGAGTTTGCATGTTCTCTCCGTGCATGTGTGGGTTTTCTCTGGGTACTCCGGTTTCCTCCCACAGACCAAAAACATGCATGTTAGACTGATTGGTAACTCTAAATTGTCCCTAGGTGTGAGAGAGAGAGTGAATGATTGTTTGTCTCGTTTGTCTCTATGTGTCCCTGTGATGGACTGGAGACCTGTCCAGGGTGTCCCCCGCCCCTCGCACAGTGATTGCTGGACATGGACACCAGCGACCCCCGTGACCCAAAATGGAACAAGCGGGTAAAGATAATGGATGGATGGATGTAGATAAATTGGTCTTTTTGTCCAAAAACTTTAAACTTGATTAGTTACATTGTAAACGGTCTGTTGCTGCTTATTGTTCTGCTTCTGACTGTTGTTGTATTTATCAAGATTTATTATTGTTATTATAGTTTATTTATTGATGTTTATTTAAAATATCATCCAAATGGGTCACTTTATTTATTTTTATACAAACGTATTGTTTACTTGGCATATTTTCAAAATAAACATTTTGTAACTCTTTTTTTGTAACGAAGATGAACCGAACCAAAATGTGATTTTAGCGTACCGTTATATCCCTGATGGATAATAAAATCCTGGCATTCCTTGAAGGACCACATGCTGCTTCCATGCCAGCTTCAGACTAAACTTATCTTCTGTTGAGAAATAACAAAAGTGTAGCCATTTGACTCCACCCTTAAACCACCAGCCTTGGACCACCACCCTTGGACCACCACCCACAGTCTCATGTGACATCACCAGTGATCCATTTGTGTTTGGAGTCTGTTTAGTGCATTACTGTCAGTTTCCACCTCCATAAACTTTAGCTTAATACCTGTTACATTTACAGAGTAATATTCATTTTAGTGTTTGCTGATATCACTTCGCTGTGGTAACCACCTTCATATCCATTTGATAGTTACTTTCAGAAAGTTTTATTAAAATGGATTCAGTGATTTATCGGATATTGTGCTAACAGACAGATCTCCAAACACAGAGAAATGGGCAGAAACAGTGTTGCCCCATCTTTGCTTTCAGCAGCGGGCAAAAACAAACTGATGTGACAGAACAGCTGCTTAAAGATGTCTGCTTGCACATCTGCATGGACGTGTGGGGGAGTGTGTGACGTGTGGGGGGGTGTGTGACGGTGTGGGGGAGTGTGTGATGTGTGGGGGAGTGTGTGATGTGTGGGGGAGTGTGTGACGGTGTGGGGGAGTGTGTGACGGTGTGTTTGTGCAGTCCACAGGCACTGAGAAATAAATTAAAAAGTGTGTGTGTCAGTCAAGATGATGGACATGGCCTTTCACAGGCTCACAATTGCTTGATGACTGATCCCCACGACTGTCCACCCTCCACCCCCGCAACTACATCACACACACACACACACGCACACACACACACACACACACACACAC